TATTTGAAAAACACAAATTATGCAAAGTATTTAGAAATAATAAAAAAAAAATTACCTACACCTTTAAGCTAAGCTTGTGGTGGTGCAGGGAGTAACAATAAACATCATTTTCTAGTAATTTAATATTATCTAGTATTTTATATTTTTCTAGTAGTCCATGATAATAATTAATATTAATACAATTATAATTTTTAACCTATCATCTGTGTTTAATAATTCATAATTAATAAGGACTATACTAAATAATCCATCTATTTTATGTTCTTAAGGACTATTACATACCATTAATACATAGATACGTTTTAATAACACAGAAACTACCAGTTTGAAATTCAATTAAGATACGTAAAAATGTTTAAAACAAATATCTTGTTTAATAATTTATAGTGAAAGAGAGTAGTTATCATTTGAAAATTTAAATAAAGGACATTTTACTTCCAGAGGACACTTTAAAAAAAAATATATCTCAGAATTTCTAAAATATATGGTTACCTTCTTTAAAATTCCAAAAATCAGAAATTTAATAAATGCGTCATTACCTAAATGATAAAATAGGGTTTCAGAGCATATTTGATTACGCTGTATAATTATATACACATTAACAGTTCACTTTGTTTTCATAAAAAATATATTCTCATTAGATTAATATACTGTAGATTAAATATAACTTTAATAATATTATAATAATATAACTTATAAGTTTATAACGTATTGATATTTTAATAGCAAGATGTATATTATAAACTATAATTATAGCAATTATTATTTGTATAATTTTTGTTACTGTATTTTATATTTATAATTCCAATTTTATTATTGCATATAAATATAAATATAAATACAGCTGCGTATAGGTGCCAGGATCGGTAAGAGAGGGAGGTTAAAACAGATGGGGCACTTCATTAAGTGTTTATTGGTAAGCCAACTTATGTATAAGACTTAAAATTGTACAGTCCTGCAAAACTTAATTTTTAAATTTTATTGAAATATTTTTCGGTTTAAATATATTTGAGATAAAAAAAATGTATTGAATTTTATTATTGTGCATTATTTAAATTTTTAGGGGGCATAAAAGCATTTTGTTTGGGGCATTGCATATCCAGCCCTACAGTTATGTATGTTAATCGTATATTCGTATTTAAATTATAATTTATAAATCATCATTTATATTTTATAACTGATAAAAAAACCCTGGCAAAACATTGCTGAATACAGACTTGAAAAAGGTGCTGGTATGCAGTTAAGTTTAGGCACTGTCTACACTCATCAACGACAGTATTTATACAATTATACGCACACATTTTTCTCAAGAACATCTGACAAATGAATCGTTGTAATATTGTTTTTTACTATCTGTTCCTACAACAATAATAGACGACTAATTTTGGCTATAATATGTGACTTGAAAACAATAACATCGTCCGTCACTTGATTGCCGTTGGCGGTAAAATGTATAATGTATAGGACGCACCGGTATGATTTGATACAGCAGCCGTCTTTCAGGATTGTTATTTTTGGTTAAGTATTGAATATATTTGGTAATTTTTAGTAGATGTGGGTACAATGCCCGTTTGAACAAACAATTATTTACATACGTGCCTTATACATATATTGTTATGGGGTATTTATTAAATATATGTACCTAATATTGGTCACAAAGCCACAAAGGTAAAACACGTAACGAAAAACTAATCATTCAGGGTCGAGGCTATTGCCCCAAAATCTGCAGTGCAATAATATATTATTATAATTAGGTACGTAAACTTACTCTCAAATATATAAGGCTGCCCTTATTATTTTTAAAGACATGAAATCGGGGATTTGCTGATGGGTCCAGGGGTACTGGACCCCCAGACACTATAAATATTTATGTTATATTATACACACAAGTATAATATATTAATATAAGGTTATTTATAATATGCCTATTTCAAATAATATACTGAAATAATATTATATTGTTAAATATTTATTTTTAATTTTTCAACAATTATTCGTTTATAAAAATAAAAATAACCTCTGAAATACATATATATTATTTGTATGACCCCCTCCCCTTAGAAAAATGTTGAAAATTCACCATTGGTAATACTTACTAATAAGACAAACTTGGACATTACAAACGGCCGTAGGTACAGTATACTATATACTATATTCATCAAGCGGTGACACTAATAGTAAAAAGTCTACCAAGCATGCTCTTACTCATATTTTTCTTTAATAATGAATTTACTCAAATTATGATTTCTTATGTTTACTCTTAAGGACCATATTTTCTAACATTTCGATTTTTCATACCATTTAAGGAGTGTCTTGTGGTGACACAAACTTTTTTTTTCAAATGAGTACGTGTACCTAGGTATATAATGATTAACTGTATATTGTTGAGAAGGTGATTTATTAAAATGTCTACAATAAGGATAATAGGTAGTGGTAGTCCTTAAAAATGGCTTTACAAAAATATAAAAAAGATTTAATCTATAGTTTTAATTAAAGTTAGAATTAGAAAGTTTTTACAAAATGTCCATGGATTAACATTAATAAATTACTATAATTTTCAAATCATAATAATAATATATATTATGTTCCAAACCTATTATCATGGACCTCAGGACCTATAATTATCCTTAATACACAAATTAAATATCTCAAAATCTACTCATTCGAATTTCGATTTCGATACATCAACATACTCAAGAAAGTCATATACTTAATAATTTACAGGAAAAAGGGTGATTATTATTTGAAAAAATGCTGATCATTATTGCCGATTAGTGAAATCTGTATACATGACATTATGACAATGACAACAACTTTTTTAAGGGAAATAGTTTATTATGATACCCAGGTTATGCTCAGCTGATTCCTACTCCAATTGTATGTAATATATTATTATTATTGTATATATATGTATAGGTAATAGGTAAATATATTATACCTAATGGTTTTATAGAAAAGTTCGGAGTAGAACTTCATTAATAATTGAATATTATATTTACGACGCGAATGTGTATTAGTGTATTACGATTATAATCCAAATAGCGGGTGCCAGCAGTGAGCAGTAACTACAACTCTAATCTCTAAACGATGCTTTTTAGATTTATTATGGTTAGCCATTTGAAATAATAACATAATTATAGTTATCTATGCTGCAGTAGAAAATATTACACTCCCATGGGTATTCTCGCGAGTTAAATGATTATAATAATTTATTGATGGTAGCTAGTTAGGGTAATCGATATTCGAACATTATATTTAATTCTTCATCGTCACTCCCTCTCGCTAGTTCGCTAGCTCTCTCTCTCTCTCTCTCTATTTATATATACATAATGTATAGGTACTAATATAATATACATAACTACCAATATATATATTATATAAATTATATAGTAAATAATAATCAATATTCAACGTAAACGTAAATGTGATCGTGATGTACTCTCGGTAGAACAATTAAATAATGGTCATAAATTAGTTCTCATAATTGTTACTGTACTTGCATGGATTTTTTAAAACGTATAATTTATTACTAGGTAAGCTATAAATAATTCATTTCATGACTTTACGAATGAAATATTAAAAGTTTTTAGTGCACATTTTCTAATTTTAAGATCTTTTAGCACATACATTTTATAATTATGAAATAAACTACTTAGGTTCCGTATGAAAATGAATTTAATTTAATAATATATTAATATAGTTTTAATAATTATCAAACTATATAACACATATATATTATATATATATGCATTATACCTATATACACTTAACAACTTTAAAATCAGTGAATAGGTTTTTTAAATTTATTTTGTTTAATTAATTTTTAATTAAATTATAATTTATTACTAATACTTATTTACATAGTTTTTATTTTTAGAGCATTAAAGATCAAGTCCTAGCTAGTAATACCAGCTAACTCTTAACATTATATTGAAATGGAATTAACACAAATATTATATAATTTGTGCAGGCCACACTACCTATTATACATATGATGCTAAGCGCACGCGGGAAACGATTTGGCATTTATAAGACATTAGGAACAATTTTTTAGGCAGCATTTTTTTTTTGTGGTACTTGATGTGACAAACCTTACAGACTTGTGTGTATTTATATTATCGTGTTTATATTTATAAGTCGTGGCAGTGAAGTAGAGGCGCGCGCGCTGTCTCAAAAGTATATATACATCAGAAGCAGAAGCGGAAAAACAAGACGAATACTTATGATATAATTAGGTGTATTACTACGGCATGCGTGTGAATAACGTAAATAAAATTATGATTTTCCATCCCACCCAAAAAAAAACCCACACGCACGCAACGACTATTCGTATATTTCGTGATGTTCCTTCGCAGTGCCAAATTCGACACAAAATCTTATGTCGCGCCGCGATGCGTTATATTTGGAACTTGCGCGTGTTTGACGCGCTCTCTTGTATTATAATATTATCGTGTCGTCACGTGCGCGGGATGCATTCCAAAAAACGCTTACATACATGAACTGCCAGCCAGTGGTGCTGCAGTATTTGAGAGTTCATCAAAATAATAATTCATAAATATAATACGATAAAAAAAAAAACCTTATTATTTACAAGACAATAGATTAAAGGATCTCCACCACGGTTAAAGATATTATTTTAAATCATGACTCGGCAAATGGAGTTCTACACAAACCCCATGTTATATTTTGCTTATCAAAAATTAAAAATTAAATATTTCGAATTTATCATTAGTGTTCCATCCACAAAATGCTTATTAAAATAAAATCATCAACGTTAATGAATACGATGAAAAAAATGCTCTCTCTCTCTCTCTCAGAATCGCTCTGAGAGAGAGAGAGAGAGAGAGAGAAGTGATTGCCTTCTTAAATACAACGAATAACAATGATCTGTGGTCGTCGTGTATTCAGTATTCACACTCATACTCATGTATTCAGTTCATGGAAATAAATAAGTCGTCAAAAATGTAAAATGTAATCGATTTTATTTCATTTGTATAAAGGTACTTGAAAAAAGCTCGTTACAAAAAAAATCAAAGGAAAGCTGACAAGGCAACCAACGTGATATCTGTACCTAAAAAGGACAAAAGACACCTCGCGGTATCTGCCGTAAGTACAACGACCGCGACCAATAGCAGTAAAGCGGCCGTGGCGTCCAACTGCAACGTCGGCGGGGTAACTTTTATAATTCCGAGAATTGAACAACCCGATGACCAGTCAACTGCGGCAACAATCGTCTGCAAGCCCTTCGAACCGAACAACATATCCTCCTCCATAGGTAATGTATGAGTATACTTAAGTTGTGAGTACAAACTATAAAGCTATCGCCTATCATACGTTTATTAAAGACAGCGTCTTTATAAGAGATTCATCATATATTAATCACGCATATTGTTTACTATAATATAGTAGAGATTTTTGAAACTTGTTTTTCTTAGGTAGAGCAACCTATTTATACATTTATAATTGTATAAATTAGAACCTATTAATTAAAATAAAAAATCAATATGACTGTTAAAAAAAAATTCAAGTCCCTAATTTATTAATGGAGGGCATCGAGAAGTAGCCTACCGTATCAAGACTCAAGAGTTGTGTTAAAAACTTAAAAATAATTTATCGCCCCGTTCAAGCTTCAGATACTTCATTATATTTTTACGAAATGCTTTACAGATTACATACTAATCTTTTCAGGTTGTATCGACTTTATATAGGTATAAGTGTATAATATTTCAATCTTATTCAGTGATTTTAGATCTCTATTAAGTATAAATTGTCGATATTTTAAATTGTAGTAGATAGCTATATTATTATATCACGACTCTCAGAGTTGCCTCAAAAAACGTATCTATACCAGTATAGTGGCTTACTGGCGTATCTACGGGGGGACTGGGGTATACTGCATACTATACTAGTGTATACTGAATATCTATTAAAAATGTAATATCCCTAGCTTGAAAAAATCCTAGATACTCTACTGACCTACTACGATACTGCTAATGTACTACTATACACCGTACAATACAAATACATTTGTTTGACAGCTATTTGACTGTTTTATAATATGAAAAATGTTTTATATTTTTCCAGTAGAAAAAACCCCGGAAAAATGTTTTGCATATATCCTGCCGGATGAATTGAAAAGCGTTTCGACCGAGACGAAGAAATTACTGCTTGGTGTTTTTGAACCAACAGCAAATCAGAAGACAAACAAAATTATCATTTACATCTGTGTACCGGACAATAAAGGCAAGTAGATACAAAATGTTCGTCGTTTCATTTCAGGCTTAATTTTCAGTACCTACACAACATTGTTGGTTAAGTTATATTTGTGGGTATAGGTACATTTTTCATAAATATAAACATCGCCAATAGACAATATTCAACATTTATACAAAATGCTATGCATCACTGATCACTAATCCAGTATATACTTCTGTAATTATGTCTTGTTTTAACTTTCAAGTTCAGTGAGATTATATTACACTTATCAGTCAATCAATAGTTTACTTATGGGATATAATTATATAAATACTTACCTACCTAATATGATTTAAGTGAAACGTTTTTTGTCTTTAATAATATATTATTGTAAAGTTATAAAAATATAAATTTATCTTTAAGCAATTAATTATTTAAATAATAAAATGAGTGATGAGTAGTTAAGCATATATAAGTACCTCCCCTACCTATGTCGATATCAGAAAATTAGAAAAAATAAAATGTACCTATATAAATACGTAGTTATACGAGTATTAGACGATTTTCGAAACGTAATGTGACTCACAGGATTTCCGGACGAAAGACAAAGCCTGTACAAAACTGTGCTACCGGAAATCCGGTCGAAATGCACGAAAATTGGTTACGAACTGCACGTGGTAGACCTGTACTGCGACCACCAGCAACAGCAAGAATACGGACAGCTGGACACGGCTGTCCGGCTGACGGAACTGCGCCGGCAGAACCGCGTTGGTCACGTCGTGCCAATTGTGTTCGTGGACGACTCGCTGGGTCCACCGGTCCTGCCCCACGTGATGACCAGACAAGATTTCGATCTGGCCAGGAGCAAAATGCCGGGCGCCAGCAAGCTGATCGAAAAATGGTACACGCTAGATTCACAGAAAAACCACTACGAGCTCCGGAACGAGATGATGTTCGAAACGACGTTCGAGACACAGGTAATGCAATATATTGTAAAAAGTATATACGTATAGTCTTATACGCCAGAATTTTGTTCTTGGGGGGGGGGAGGGGGGTTATATAAGTCGACTGACAAGTATATTTTTTAGGAGGGCCAAACCAAAGTTTCAACTTTTAAAAGCTAAAAATCGTATAACGTACCTACATTTATGTACGTTACGTATTTGCCCATTAAATATAAAAATAAATAAACAAACATATATATATTCAATATTGTATTTAACTTGTTTTCAGGAAGCTGACGAAAAATTATGGCATGATGAGAAAGTACAGCTGCAAATCGCACTCATGAAGGCGTTCGATTCAAAGTCGTTGCGGAGCGGTTACGTCGAACAAGTTTTTCAACAGGTAAACTAGCGATTATAATATATACCTAGGCGAATTATTATTGATTCGCGCTTATCGAACAATAAATACAAATATACAATAATCTGAAAACTGGACGTTTTATTATGCACGCAGGAAGTCCGTAATGAGATCATATTAAACTCCGAGTTGGCTAAAAGGTCGGTGTGGATTCTCAACAATTATGACGTGGTTTCCGGTCACAAGTGTAAAACCACTGCTGTGGAAACTAAGAAGAGACTCGAACAACTCAGTAAACATTTGAAGGTGTTGTATTTATTTACTCCTAACTAAAATATATATACATATATATTTTAAGCTTTCTCCGCAAATTTGTTCATGTTTTTCATTTTTCTATACTATATATTATACTTATTGATTTTTGTATGCGTTTGTTTGATACAGAACGAATTGCCGGAAACCAATATCATATTTTACGAGACCGCCAACGTGCCGGAATTTTTAAAGAAAATAGGATCCACACTAACGACTATTGTCGAATCTGTAGAAAAGGAAAGGGTGAGTAGTACAGTACATAAAAGTAGTACATAATATATGATACATAATATAATATGAGTATAGAGATTGTAAGACACAGAAGTTATATAAGTATTATATACCAATGTTTGAATTTGAAAGTTTTTTTATAAGGGGTGCAAAAATGTAAATTAGAAGTGGTACCTACACTCAAATATTTTTTTATATTAGGTATTATGTTCTCCTTTCCCCCCCACAATTCTTCTATAACCTATATACACAGATACTGTGAGATCTTGACATACAGATATACTGTAAATGATATTCATTAGTGCCTTGGGAGGGGGGTGCTAATATAACCTTAGCTTAAGATCTTATAGCCCCTCTAAAATCTCTTGAATACTTCTAAATAAAACACAAATGTACTCCTAAAATTACATACATTAAATTTAAAAAAAGAATCCTGGCCGTTAATAGGCCTAAGCCCCATAGAGCACTTTGCAGTTTTTGCCACTGGGCCTTTTATTGTTCATCATGAGTTGATCTTATAACAGTTCAAAAACATCGATAATACAGTTACAATTTTTACACAGTAATTTTTAGTTACTTTTTTTAGTAAACGTCTGAGTTTCAAATTTTGACAAATTTCGTTTAAGTAAATAACCAAAAATTAAAAATACCTTTTAGTTAAAAAATTCTTAACATTTTTAATTTCAATAGGTAGTAGGTAGAAAATGTAATACTGACAATGTTTTTGTCCATGTGTATGTATAGGAAAAACAAGAGCCTACGTACGGTGTGAGCTGGCTACTGTTGGAAGAGCTGAGGATTCAAGCTTGGTTCGGGTACAACGCGGCCAAACGGGCTGTTCGCCGGGACGATGCCATGGAACGTGCCAAAAAGTGCGTATTAATGTATTATAATATGATACAATGCGTAGAGATGCGTAACTGATATCCGCCTATAATACGGCTATTCTTATTGCTTGACCATAAACTATTCAGACTTGTAAAAAACGTACTTTTGATATTTAATTGATATATCTACTGTAGAGTTATTCCGTGAAATCTGAGAGAAAAATCTAGATCCTTATAGTTAAGACTTCCAGGCCGTTTGTTGGCTGTTAACGCATTAATTATAGGACGACCAGCAGACACGATAATTTATCTGTATCTCTGCTCACAGATATTTCATGGACGCGGATGCAGGGTACCCGTTGATACTATACGGGCCTTCAGGGTCAGGCAAGACCACGGTGATGGCGGCCATAACGAAACACTGTCACCTGTGGAATCAGGATTCAGCGTTGGTGGTGAGATTCGCCAACGCGTCCGCTTACAGCTCATCGCTGGAGCAAACGCTTCACTCGCTGGTTGTCCAATTGAATCTCTTGGACAGCGGAAAATGTATTTGGTTCAAGCACGTGAGTTTCGTTTCTAAAAAATACATTTTTTTTCATTTCTATATTTTCATGCCGTCGTCGTTTGTAGGACGTACAACTGTACTCGGAACAAATTATACGGCTGTTGGGTTCGATTGGATCTAAACGGCCGGTAACGTTGATCGTCGATGGAGTCGACCGAGTAATTATTACACCACAGATGATATAACTTATAAATATATAGGACTGTGCATTTTTAGCGAATGCATTTTTTAGACATAGCTTTCTTCAAATTTGCCAACTTCCGAATTATGTATCATAGAGTATATAACATCATGTTGATATAATTTGGTTTTAAATCGTTTTATACTTTCTAGATTTTAATATCCTTTTTTAGCAATTTTACTATGGAAATTTAAATTTTCAGGGTTTTAAATACTCTTTACACGCTGTACAAATGTGATGCCAGTGGGTCGGATAATAGATAATTAAGAATTGAAGATTCATTTTCATATATTATTATTTTTTAAAAGTTAAATTTTATTGGGTTTTTATTTTTTTTATAGTGCGTTGTATATTTGCAGCTATATATTGGCTATATCTATACAATAATTTACCACCGTTTATTATATTTTCATCACATCATGTTCGTTTGTGTGTACAGTTCGAGAACAATTTAGTGGATTGGATACCTCAGTCGCTGCCCAACAACGTCAAGATCGTAGTGTCAGCCTCAGAGCCTTCAGCGCATCTAAACCGATTGCGTCAGAACATAAAAACGCCGGATTCGTATATACGGGTTGGTTATAAGTACCCACTACTCATAATATATTTTATGTTATTAATTTGAGTGCACAGATAAAGTCAATCTCCATCGCCAATAGTCGTAACTCGTTGTATATCAGAATATTATTAAACCTAATTTGTGTTAATATAGATCGCGAACATGACAGATGAACAAATCGACTCCTTATTATCGGCGGCGATCATCCGACCGATCGGTGGTGGCGGTGGCGAAACGAACAAAACCGACAGCAAACTGGTGGCCGCCAAAACACCGTTGGAAATTCAAGTGAGCTTGTTGTGTTCTAAGATACGAAAGTCGAAACAACCACCTTCATCGGAAAAGTGGGTGGAAGCTATTTTCGACAACGTCGAATCGCATCTCGGCAAAGACAAGGTATGGCATACCTTAAGTTTATTATAATACCTAAAAAAATATATTTATATTATATGTATGGATTATTCTAACAGAATTTGCGGCTTCGATGATAATAAAATATAAATAAAATGCAAATATCAGTTTTTATGGTTTATATTAATGATTCGTTAATAGTTTTCAAATCTTTTTGAAACAATTAAAACGGCTGAAATCGTTTAAACTATATATAGTGCAAAAGTTATAGTATTAAAATTTCAAACTGATTGAATGTTAAAAAACGTTTTGGTATCGTTGAAATGATTTCTATGATGGCAAGCCTTTTTGAAATTGAAACGAATTAAATGCTTCATATAATATAAATATCGTAAATATAATTTACAACAATTAATTTTTATTCATATTATGTGCTCAAGGTATCCTCTGTGATTGGACACATGTGTGCCACCCGATACGGTTTACTCGATTCGGAAATGGTCGAATTACTATCTTCAGAGAACGAATTTCGCGTTCCGGACCTTTCCGCAGCTGGTAAGTTATTATAATAATATAATATTCGTACCTACATGTAATGTAGAAGGCTATTTTTTATAAGGGAAATGCGTTGTTCGAATGAATTGATATACCTATATATATTACACGTAATGGCCACGTATAACCAAAAACTGCACATATATACATTTAATAAGTGAACAAAAAAAAAGATCGGATTTCCCTTAGGAAGAAAATATATTTAGAACAAAACGGCTCACTTTATAGTTTTTAGTAAAAAATTTAAAAAAATATCAAAATATTACTTTTTTCGAAAAATGGTTGAAATAAAAAATAAAAATTGGTTTGTATAGGTACTTATGTATATTATTTTAATCATCGTTGCATTATTACCTATTTAAATTATTGCAATTTTTCTAGTACCTAATTCAATAATTCACCATTATATCAGTTACAATAAGTCGATAAAACATTTTTGAATTGAATATATAAAGCTAAACATTATCAAAACCAAAAATATCTACGTAAACCCGTATTTTTCTTTTACTATGTAGTAATCAGGGACGGATCAGAGGGGGGGAGGGACCCAGCCCTCCCAGACATATTTTTATAAATATAATCTATTAAATAACAAATAAACAAAATCTAAACTTCTTTTCACATTGTCGCTTTATATATTAAATGATCAATAATTTATTTATCACATTGATTACCTATACCTACCTATCCTAATATGACAACATTTTTAAATTAAGATTTAAGAATAAAATATAATATTTTATTATAATTGGATTTGTGTTGTAAAAAAATTGTTGCCCCCACCCCCCAGATCTTTGCTCTGGATCCGTGTCTGGTGGTTATAGTTTACCAGAATATATATTTCAGTGATTTCGCCTCCGGCCGGTCTCTTCTGGGCAATGTTCAACGAGCTGATGTCATCGTTTATGTACTGGTTCAAAACGGATCGGTACGCAACGGTCCGGTGGAAGAACGCCGTAGTTGCCGAAGCTGCTGGTCGACGCTATAGCGAGTCCATTCGGCGCATCAATAAGAAAATGATTTCGTACTACAATGACCAGGTATGAACTGATAAGTTGCGCAAATTGGTGGCCTTATAGTCCCCTCAAAATATATTTAAGGTTTTACAACATTTATTATTTTCCTTAGAATTTGTTTAGTGTTTTCTGTAAGTATATAATATATCCTACAATATAATATATAAATGTATTACCTAGTGGCTAGCTTACTATATTAATTAATTTTTTATGTTACTATATAGTAGGTAGTATAGTGACATAACAATGTATATGCTTATAATTTGTAGTATTGTATATATTTATAATGCAATTTATTTTTTTAACTTAATTTTGTTTCTTGAATTCAATATTTTATGTTTAAAAAATGGTATGTAAAAAAATATCTAAGCAGATTAATTCGAAAGATTTTTTTGGAAGGTAAATACTAAATAAATAATAATAGTGCCTAATCTAATTTTTGATATTTTCAGCATTGATTACAGTGAATTTTTGATTATTATAAAATAATATACTAATACATAATATTATACTACATTACAATTTACATTAAAGTGTATAATCTCTTCCGGAGAGACTCTCAGTCTTTTGAGACTACGTATTTATCTTATAATTCCTTTATATATTATATACAATGCAGTCATTTTGAAGGTTTATTATATTCTCTGGTCGGTGACAGGTGGTAGCGGTGGCGGAGGATGACAGTGGCAAGAAGAGCTTGCCGAAACGTAGGAAATTGGACGAGTGCACTCACCTGACGGACCGGGCCGAGACGATCAAAGAATTTTTCAGCGACCTCGATTGGATTTTGGAGAAACTTAATAATGGATCGGTGCTACAGGTTAGTTGAGTGGCCGATTATCTTACGATGATTAAATATACGGGACTGCGGGGATATATTGCTACGGCATACTAAAATTCGAATGCAGGATGACACCCTCCCGCCAAAATTCTATAAATACTAAAAAGTCGCTCTGCTGTACAGTAGGTTACAAGCTTATAGGTTAGGTTAGGGGGTCGCTGTATAATGGATGGTATTAATTTTGAATTCAATGATATAATATCTTTGTATAAGAAAACCGATTCCGAGTGGAGACGGTATGTCATTGTAGATATAAGACATACAATTATATACTTATCTATGGTATTAAAAAAAAAAAAAATACCTATAGTAAATTCCAAATTAATCATATCACAATAGCCATTAGGTACTATTATAACTTGTTATACATCAACAACAAACCGCGATACTATATATTTTTTTTTTATTGTTCTTTAAAGCCCGGCGACTATGGCCATTAGGCATTAGCTGATTGTGGGGTTCTATGATTGTAGGTAGTAGGGTTTATAATGGTAGGGATTCTACCCGTGTGTGTTGTGTTTGGCAGAATTTTTGATTGGGCACCCGTAGGTATCTGCCATGCTCGGGTGGCGAATGGTGGCACTTGTTCTCCGGACACCGTGACTTGTCCGAAGAAAAATTCCGCCCTTGGCCAAGAAATCCGTGTCAGCCACACAGTTCCCCCGTGATACTATAATAGATATATAATAGTATACTTTAGAAGTTTCAAGTACCCACGAATAACATTTTACAATCACAACAACATAACTAAAATAGTTATTCTAGGTTTTTAATATGTAATTTCGTCCAAATTTCAACTTAAAATGGCTATAAAAATAAACTATGCTTAGTAAATTTTTAGATTTTTTGGTAACAGAATAAACTACTTACGTAGAATCTTGTTTTACATTTTCAATACTTAGATATAAAAGTTGAACATTTTATACATTTTTAACTACGAAATAATTATTCAATTTTAAATTTGATAAATTTTGTCAAAACTTGATCTTTAAATGCTTTTAAAAAAAAATTTTGCCTATGCATTTTTAATATTTTTCAACTGCTATTGTAACAATATATCAGGAGATAAAACTTTATGGATATTCATAGAAAAAAAAATATAAAAATTGAAATATGAAATATGAAATTGTCCTTAAACAGCTCAAAACAAATCAAAATATTTTGAAAATTTTATCAAGTATAAGAATTGATAAAATAAAAATTCAGTGAAATTTTCATGTATTTACAGTTATACGTTTTAAATTACAACAAAATAAGAAAATCGAGTGAATATTAAATATCCAATATTGTAAAAATTTAAATTTCAAATGCTCATAAAAATTTAATTTGACTTTCTTATAGACACTTTCTTTTTGATAAAGGTAGATAATCTTATAAGGAATCTTGTTTTACATTTTGAAATCTTAGATTTAAAAAAGAAACATTTTTATGAATTCTTAACTCAAAATAATTTTCTAATTTTCGTGATTTTTCCATATTTTGTCAATTTTTGAACTTAAAATGATTATAAAAAAAACTGTGACTAAGAATTTTTAATATTTTTCAAATGTCATTATAAAAATATAGTAGGAGACTTGTATTCAATTTTCAAGTATTTTTACTCAACAAATAAAGTTTTATTGACATTCATAGAAAAAAAAAAACTAAAAAAATTGGAATCTGAAAATGTCCCTAAACAGCTCATTCTAATATTATTGGCTGGTTCTCAAAATATTTTTTGTTGCGTTTAGGTATAGAAAATGGATACTTGTGAACTGTGATTGTATGAGGTAGGTACATAACATAAGTGCAGTCTTGTAAAGTACTTGAGTAAAAGTATTTGAGTAAAGTATTCAAATACTTTTTAAGTACTCAAATACGTATTCTAAATACATTTGAAAAAAGTACTTGGGTATAGTATTTGAATACTTTTTTGAAAGTATCTGTATTTAAAATCAAATACTATTTTTAAATACTTTTACTTTATTACCAAATTTAAATAAAATAATAAAAATTTGAAATTGTACAAGATTTTTAATTATAGATCGTTCATGGTGTGTTTTGGTGGGTATATTGTAATATTTTTAGTGGCCTATACTAGGTAATGTGTATCCATTTAACTGAATGTATACAGTCTGTCGATTTCCTAATAAAATTGGAAATACCTTTACTCGAATTATATATATAAAACATAACGATAGTTGATTGATAATAATATATTATATCTATACATTATACATACTAAATTTATTTAGTTGACTAATAATTCAATTTATCTATAAGGTCATTAGGCTAAGGTAAAAAAGTGAAAAATATTTAAAAAAAAAAAAAGTATTTGAAAGTATTTAAAAGTATCTGTAAATACTTTTTAAAAGTATTTGTATTTGTACTTAAATACTTTTTTTTTCGAGTATTCAAATACGTATTTTAAATACTTTTGAAAAAAAGTATCTGTATCTGTACTTGAATACTTTTTAAAAGTATCTTTTACAAGACTGCATAAGTGGAACTGTGAAAGGGACTTTAAAGTTTGTTATAGAAATTATTACAGGAGAGTCAATATTGCTATTGGCTATCTAATAGTTACCTGAAAAAATTAAATTCGCAATTTCCATTTTTCAACTAAAGTACTTACTCAAACCAAACTTGTTCATAACTGGATGATAATCACAAAGTGGATTATTATTCGAGAGTGCTAAACGATACATATACATTTTCCTCTCCCAACACTAGAATAGCAGGGTATAAGGTGGCGAAAGAAAAATGAATGGTTCGCATGAGTGAGTGTGTACGAGTATACCTATATAATCTATTCCATTACAATTCATTTTATCGATGCCAGTTTTTTTAAATTCGCATTCCTGAGATATTTAATTAAATACTCGTTTGTACAGTTACTAGACGAACTTTCGGCGCACGCCCAAGACCCGCAAGCGCGATTCATCAGAGACTTCCTGTCGTCCGCTATGCCAGCCGTGATGGACAACGGCAATCAGCTGTTCTCACAAATGTCGCTGTACCAACCGGCGGCTGACCGGTACCGGGCTCTGATGGAAGCGCCTCCATTCCCGACTCTGATGCCACTAGTTCTGACGGAAGCTGCGGCCGCGGCATCGCAGTTGTCAGAATCCGCCTCTCAGCTGTCGGATGGTGCCGGCAAGTTCGACTTGGTCAAACGGTTCAACGACGACGCGAATTACGTGATCACCGTCAGTACCGGGCGGAAAGAAATAAGCGTGTGGGACGTACACACGTGAGTTTGGACGAATATATTATAAGATCTCTTATAATCGACCTGACAGGTTTTCTTTTTTTGGGTCCACAGCTGTATGAGAGTGCGCACGCTCAAGGGAATCCTCCATCCGACCGCGCTGAAACTGATCGACAACCAGCGTTGCATAGTATTGTGCGAGCGAAAACTGATAGTCATCAACTTGGCGACCGGAAAAGTGATCAGCAAACTCAAAGGTGTGCCTTTGACATTTTAACAAATAACAATCAGGACAGTCATTAAAAGTACCCTGCAATGCAATCGGAACTTGACCGGAACCGTTGTTCACATTCTTATGGTACCGTCAGGGCTAGCGTTGGGGGGGGGGCTAAACTTTTGAGGGAGGTGGCAGTTATCAATAAAAGGGTATCTAAACAATTTTTTTTGTCACTAAAAATAATAATTTCACTTAGAACTTTATCATAAATAAAAAATCATATAAGTCTGATATTACCTGGGTATGTTAGACCGGTCGAAAACACTTTCTGAAACCAATTTTTATTCATGCAAATAATATTTTTATATTATTTTTTAATAATTAATATTAGATTCTGAGTGAAGCAAAGAATGTAATAGTATTAATATGTGTATTTTTATTCATTTATTTTTTATCAATATAGAAACACGATAATGTCCATAAAATATTGGTAGCTTTGGTACTTTGACAAGTCTCATTTTAAAAAGTTAAACATTTATATTTGCCAATGTATTTTTATTTCCAATGAACATCGTATGTGTAACTAGATACAACATATTGAAACGGCTTAAGTCTTTAATATGATAAAGCTATTTAAAAAAAATTGTTTTATTTGGGACATACATTTTTGATAATTTTTAGCCTTCAGCATTACACCTATGACCTATAGCCTATACTCTATAAGCTATAGGTAACTATGGTTATTGGTTAAATAAGTTTCGCAAAAAGTAGCGCCAGCCCTGGGTAACGAAATATGGTGGTGAACTGGTGGTATATGGATTTGTTTTTAAAAATCAGAATTGTATTTCATTATACGATTTTTTTTTTTGTTATTATGGTCCAAACTCCAAATTGCTGCAGTGGTGACTCGTGTCATAAAGCTAAACAGTAAACATATTTACTTTCTATCACCCCTATGCATATCTTATTTAAATTTCGAAACCTATTTCGTACAACTATAACTAGTATTGTGTTAGTATAGCTTTATACCGAGACTTAATTTTTGATTATTTTAAAAAGTGGAACCAAAATCAGAACCGTAAATATCAAATTTTGAAAATCGGAACAGAAATAACTACCTATTTAAATTTCTCCAATATTGTAATATTATAGTTTTATTACTGGCAAGGATAAATACTGCAAGGGATTGCAATAGGTCATTGTTGAACGTGCTTTTCGTTTTCCCGCAGGGGTGATGAATCAAAACATGCCTTACTTCGGTTTGCACAGTTCCTCGAAAATTGTGGCGTTGGCTAGGAGCCGGATGCACGTGAACCTGATCGACATCGAAACGGGTACGATCGAGGCGTACTTTAAAGCCGGCGAAGACAGATTCCTGAACTCACTGCTGGTGTCTGGAAACGGGAGGTACTGTGACAATGATCGCGTATCGATTGGTCGGCGTTATTTGATTGTTTTTTAATCCGTCATCATTTTCGCTGCAGAGTCATGGTGTGCGGCGACGAAACGCAAAAACCTTTTCCACTGCTCGTGTGGAACTTGACTTCAAGACAGTTGATGTACGACTTGCGCATACCGTTCCACGAATTCGTCACGCGACTCGCGGCCATTACTTACGAAGGTCACTACGTATGCTGCGTCGCTCAAGTAACAATTCGTTCGTTTTCTTAAATGTTGGGTCCCGACGTCCCGTCATTAATATTTAAAAATTGATTCATTATTTTTTTTTAACTGATTATAGACAAACAGCTTAGCTAGCCCACTTAGATACTAACTTTGCCTCGTATACCTACATCTTATATATGTATACAAATTATGAACTATAACTAGCTACACATAATGATATAGGTACACTGTACAACTGTATCATTTGTAGCAATATTAGGTTATTAAAACCACAGACTTGATTTTATTACTGCGGGATACAGTAATATGAAATATATTTTCCAACTTTTCCCTATTAGTTCCCTCGAAATGTCGAAAACAGCCTTTATAGAACGACATCCATCTATATATATATAGAACCCTGAGACTAATTTTGCTGCACCTACTGCACCATACTACCATCTACCATCTACCACTGTACCTATGTCGACATGATATTAATAACGTTTCCCCGCACAGGAAGTAGATGAGCCCGGGCCTAACTTCATAGTGGTGTACGACCTGCAGTCGGGCACGCTGTTCAAAAAGTGGAAGCCTGGCATGAACTGCGTGGCGCTAGACATATCGTCCAAGGACGGGTGCGTCCTGAGTGGCCACGAGAACGGCCACATATGCATCTGGGACCTGACCACCGGTAACTGTCGGTGGACGCTGAGTGGCCACGTGGCGCCAGTCACCAGCCTCCGACTGGACCCGGCCGGTGGTTCTTTCGTGTCACTGGACACGCATGCCCGAGACCGGACGATCAAACTTTGGAACGTCACCACCGGTGAGTATAGTCTTCGGGTGTGCCGAACGTTTTTTTTTATTTAGGTGTTGTCAAGTGTCGATAACAAATCGAGATTTTATCACAGTTTTAATACACACTGTGCCAGGGGAGTACCTACCTTATAACGAGCATGACTTAAGACATACAAAGATATGCAAAGATTTTTTAATTTTTATTAAGAATAAAACAATAATTGGCAATAAAATAGAAATAATTGTGTAGCAGAATATATGAGAATGCAAAGGTAGAGTGACTACAATAAGATTAAAATAAGAAATTAATTCATTGGTAGTAGTGTAGCCTTGTAGGAGAGTGACTCGAAGGCAGTGAGGGTTGCAATGGAAATGTATGTAAATGGAAAGAGTGCAAAAGAAATGAAGGACAAATGAAATAGAGGGTGACATTAAAATAACTGGTTCGAATAAAGAAGAGGATAGATCCCTATGGTGGTGTAAGATAAAGGTGGCCGATGCCTTGGGAGCGAAGGGCAAAGAAAAAGAAGATTAAATTGAAATACTCAATGTAAACTTTAAATTGTAAATATATAATATTATCATTACAATATAAACTTACATTCGTTTAAACTGTCTGCAGGCCAACTCGTCTCGGAGTTCACCCCGGTCAATCCTATAACGGCGTTCGAAATACTGCCGGGCGGCGAGTTCGTGGTCGTGGCGTCTTTGGGGTCCGCGCACCCGACGGTCCTGCAGCTCCGCGGGCCACAGCAGTCTGCCAATGAGCAAACTACGACGACGACTACTTACGGCGGCGAAACGACGCTCGAAGTAGACTTGTCGTTGGACTTCCGAGACGACGCGGCTGCGGCCTCGGCCCCAGCACCGGTCCCGACTTCCGCCGCCGTGTCTAGATGACAGCCGCCGCCGACGGAAAACGACGACGAGACGACTGCCGGACCTGGACGAAAAAACACATTTGTCGCTGCAGGTCTCACGCGAGGGATTTCACGATTTTCGTACTGTCCCGACGATAACGGCGACGGCAATTATCATGGTTATTTTATGTTATTGTCGCTGATGATATACATTCTCCTCCTCCTCCTCTTACTTCTCCTGTCATACTTGCTTAACTCGTACTACATCACACATACTCACATACACCGTGTAGTAACCTTTGTCGAATGTTGACTGCCGATATTGTGGAAGTTACTTCAATGAGTCTCTCGGTTGACGAGACACAAACATAGTTTTCAAAACATAAGAATTCTTCACAATACCATCATTACTGTACTAATTACTATAACTGACTACTGTTTAATACTATTACTACTACTACTACTACTATTACTACCTATCATCACGGTGTAAATGCCACACACATCCAAACTTACTTCTATTTTTTTATCTCCTAAGACTGATCCTAATTGTAAGATTACGCACAAAAAATGTAGACTAAAAACATAACTATTTTAATTCGGATACGTCTACAATATTTAATAATACATAATAATATTATGTTCTGTTCATCTTTTTAATAATCATATATTTCAATCGGTATTACTTCTATCAAACATCGTCATTTTTAACCAACACCACAATGTTTTAAGTTTTAACATTTTAACATTATTATGAATGTCTTTTAATTGTTAAGGATTTTAAATGAAATAAAAATAAAAATTTTCAAAGTAACAAAATGTTTTCTTTTTTTTATGAAAAAAAAAATACATAACACATACACACACAGGTTTTTAATACAAAACTAATAAACCACAAAGGTATGGATAAAATGCCACCAGATTTTATAAATAATAATAATAACAAACAAAATGAAATCACCATAAGAAGAGAAAAATGGTAGAAAACACAAAATAATAACATTAACTTAGGTAACAAGTTTTTGTTGTCTAAATGCAAATAAATAATAATAAATAAACTAACAATGTACATTTTTTAGAGTAGGTACCTTACAACTATACCAGCCTATTAATATAAGTTATAACTATACAATTACCCAAAACTATACAAAACGCACATTTTTATTTATATACTAAGTAAGTTATTATTGTATGTGAAATTATTAATAAAAAAAACAACATAATTTTGTTTTAATTTATTTTCTTCACTGCTGAACACTGTTGTTGTTGTTCACTTTTAATAAAAGTCGTCGGTTGGTCACCTGAATCTTGACCGACCATTTCTAATTTTTCAGTCTCGAAAGTTACTAAAAATATGACAAACAACACATAAAACCAATTAGTAAAAATATTTATTTTTGTACAATTTAACAAAATCATTGAACAACCTAACACTAAGTTTTATTTAATTTTTGTTTGTATTCAATATTTTTTTTTTTTCATTATTATAATAAGTTTTCATATACAAATAATATTTATTATAATATGATATATTGATATGTCAATTTTAAATTATATTTTTATCATTTTGTGTGACATTCTTTCTCTACAAGTATTTCTGGAAGTAATTCAATAGACATATTTCTAATAAATTGTAATAACAATAGAATAGTTTGAAAAATATTGAAAGTTAATTTTTTACTGTTATATTATATTATAAATTATACTTTATATATATAAATCAAAACTTTGAATGAAACCCTAATTTATATGTTTGTGTCAATATTAAAGTTATATATCTTCAACACATACAAGTGATTTAAAATAACTGATATTAGATAAATATTAAATATAATAATTGTAATAAACTATATAAAATTATGTTTGTACAAATAACTGAAATTTACGAAAATGAATGAAAATAAATTAAATGGAGGTACAGATAGGATACAGAAACTTTGCTTATCATAGCCGAGACCTGTCATGGTTTTAATACTTGAAATTTGAAGGCAAGTTTAGATTATTGCATTTATTGTTTTGAAAAAAACTTTATATGTAATATGTTTTTTTTTTTATTGATCAATTCACTTCAACAAAAAAAGCATTCAAATTTTTTTTATTTTTTAATGTTTATACCAGAGGTATACCCATACAGCCCATTGAAAACTTTATCTGGGCCACAAACAATAATATACTTTTTTATGGTGATTTAAAAGAGGATTTTATCCATTTTCATTTTCATTTGATTTTACTTTCTTTGTATAAATATGTATATTAAATTTTAAAGGTTATCAAACATTTTCTGAATAGCTCCCCAAAAATAATAATTGATGATCCTCGATATTTATATAAATATACTTATTTTGAATAGTTTTTTAATAAAAAAACAAAAGCTATGAGCAATAGTTTTTTTTTTAAATTTGCCAAATATAGTAATATATTATGAACACATCACACGAGTGACTTTCTAAACTTTCTTAAGAGGACGCTACATCCACATGCATTGTCTCCGTCTTACAAATGCACAACGTAGCAAAAACTGTATTGCGCGGGACAATTATGCTCCCTCTGTATTTATAGAAAAATTACCTAAATTCCACAACACATAAGGAAGAATTTTATCTGTGTAGTAGGGTTTTTGTTTTTTTGATAGCACTTACCAATAGTTTTTAATAATTAAAAGAAAAAAAAAATCTTATGTCATCAAACTGATAACTTTAATTGTATTTATGTTATACATATAATAAAAACCCTACGACACAGATAAAGTTAATTTCTATGCGTTGTAGAATTTTGGTAATTCTACTATAAATACAGTAGGAGCATAGTTGTCGTGCGCCAGAGGGTTTTTGCTATGCTGTGCATTTGTAAAACAGAGACAATGCATGCGGGTGTAGAGTCCTCTTAAATAATAATTATTTATATTCAGTTTATAATGTACATAGGCTAATTGATAAAATGTTTGGAGTATTTCTTCAAAAATCATTGACCATTCAATATTTTTATCCTGTTCAGAACCAATTATACCCACTATTTAAGATTATTATATTTGAAAACACAATCATACAATGAAGATAAGTTTTTTTTTTAGATGATTAATAACTATATCAGATGAACATTGAGTAAATGGAAATATTAAAAATGAATTATGGACATTAAGACTTAAGTGTTATTATTAATTACTTTTATCGGGTTCTTCTTGTTCAAGTTCATCACCTTCACACAATTTGTCAAGATGAGTGTTTGTTTGATTAAAAAATGTATCGGTATTCTCACTCCTAGTAAGAAAAAATTAAAAAACAAATATATACCACATTTTCATTATTAAAAACATTAAAAAATATGTTTAACTTACGGTGCTTGAAGCTCACTAATTTCAACAACAGGACCACCACTGTATATCCTCCACAAATAATCCCATTGGGCTTCAAATACAGATACATAGTCAGTTTCTAAATAAACAATGAAATAAACATGAATATTTTGTCAACTATGTCAAAAAAATAAGTAAAGAACATACCTAAAGTTTTGCCATCCGATTTATCAATCAACTTTGAGTTGTCTATTGGCCCTGGTGGTTCACTAACAACACCATTCAAGAAAGATTCCCAGCATTTAAACCAACTCATTGATATAGCAAAATCAGGTAACCCATCCTAATCATAAAAATTAGTATAAGTCTACGTAGATACTACATCACATTCATCACCACAGACTAACAGGACTCGAAACAAAAAATGGTGCACAGTATATAAAAAGATCCACGTCTGTTATGAGTAGTCAATGAGCGATTGTGGCGCCTCTCTCTTAGTATTTGTCTTTTTTCATCAGATTTATATACTGTTCTATGACTATTCAGTGAATTATTCAATTTTGTAGCAATGATCGCCACAATCGCTCGTCAACTTTCCAAACAGATGTTGTTCAAATGATAAAGGTTCGTTTCCAGTCCTGTTAATCTTAGTCCGTGTTCATAACTAATACCAAAATTTAAACGCTTACTGATACCAATCATTAATCATAATATATAGTTAGTAAAGTTAAAACAACCTGAATACAAATTAATATTTTATAATATAAATTATCAAAAAAATTAACCATAAGATGACAAGAAACCGGCATGTGTTACTTTGTCTTACAAACATGTAACAAATCAAATTTGCATTGAGCAGAACCAATTTTGTCATGTTAGCCAAATAATATAATTAATAATGAAATATGAAAATATTTATTTGAGTATCCTGTATCACGAATGGATCTTCGCAGGAAAAAATTTTTTGTGTCCGTATATAATATTGCCTATATTTAGCCCCTTTTTTGCAGTTATCAAAATGTGACAACAGTCAACCGATAACATAATTTTCATTATAAATTATAATATTATATTTTATTATATTAATTATAATTAAAATAGTTAAATACATTAATAGTTAATAAGTTATTAAAAAACACAATATCGTAATTTAAAATTTAAAAATACACAATTCATTGAGAATACAGTATAAATGTACAACCTATTTACGTGGAACATTATTTTAAATTTTCAATCTTTAGCTATAAAAGGTAAATTATATAATACAATTTAAAATTTGATAAATATTTTCAAAATTCGAACTAGTACCCAGATAGCAATTGTGTAATGATATTATTATTATTATAGTACACAAATATTGTTATAAAAATAATGTTATTATAATAACATAACTATCCAACTAACATGATATTTTTACATTTTAAATTTTAATTAAAATAGTTAAATACATTAATAGTTAATAAATTTAATAATACACAATTCAAAAAAAAACACAATATTCATTATTCACTTACGATCGTCATTTAAAAGATACAATTCAACAATATATTAAGAAATTCATTTTCTTTTAGCGCTATAAGAATGATCGTGATATGAACGAACATTTAAAACACTTGTATTATTTAGTAAGGATTTTCTTATTATATTACCTTCACTCGACGACAATATTGATGAAATTCAAGTTTATTTTTTTATTTTTAGTAAAGAAACGTGGTTGTTTTTCAATATTCTTTTTATGTTGATTGTATTTATATCTTCTGTTTGCATAGGTTTTGATTCGTTTGTAAGTAATTCAATAATTTTATTGCAATGTTTTAAAATATGTTTTTTTGTGTACTATAATAATAATAATATCATTACACAATTGCTATCAGCTGGGTATTAGTCCGAATTTCGAATTTCAAATTTCAAATTTTATTATATAATTTAACTTTTATAGCTAAAGATTGAAAATTTAAAACAATGTTCCACGTAAATAGATTGTACATTTATACTGTATTCCCAATGAATTGTGTATTTTTAAATTTTAAATTACGATATTGCGTTTTTTAATAACTTATTAACTATTAATGTATTTAACTATTTTAATTATAATTAATATAATAAAATATAATATTATAATTTATAATGAAAATTATGTTATCGATTTATCAATGTTATCACATTTTGATAACTGCAAAAAAGGGGCTAAATGTAGGCAATATTATATACGGACACAAAAAATTTTTTCCTGCGAAGATCCATTCGTCCTGTATCACATATTATCAAACATTAAGGTTAGGACATTTTATCTGTGTTTGTAAGTGGTTTTTTTACGTTATTTAAATTATATATTACATGCAGACTTGCCTCATCTCTGAGTCGAGCAAAGTTCTTTGTTTCTGCCTCAGCTCTATTCTTGAGCATCGTCTCAATATAATCGGCATAACAGACTTCACACCTTTGTAGCTGATTGTTGGTGCATTTTGGTCCACCATCAAATCTAATTATAATGTTATTACTTATTAGTCCATAATTTCAATTTTTTAATGCAATTTTACTTACTTGCTGTGTAAGTAATCCCAAATTTGTCCAGAAACCATGGTAGCATAATGATTAATTTGTGGCTCATGAGTTGGCTTCACTCTATTGTGGTGGCACATGAAATCATAATTATCTATAGGGCCCGGTTCAGCAAATGTATTGAACTTGGATAACCATCTAGTTGAAATAAAGCATGCTTCCGGAGTACAATTTGGCTGAGTCTTGTTCACTTGAACTTGCCGCATTTGTGTTCTAATTCTATTGGTTAATGGACTATTTTTTCTGAAAAAATATAAATGAACATTGATTACAAATATTATTATAAATAATATTGCACGTTATTCAAAAATATAAAATGTTTTCATTACTATTACAAGAACAATTAATTAAATAAATGTAGAATATTGTGTACTTACTTGTAAAAAAGAACGTAAGCTTCGGAATTTCGAACAATTTCAGCTGATACTAAAGTTACACACTGATCATCAAATTCATACCATTGTTCGTTTATTGGGTTTAACGAATAGCACGTGTAATGACCACCACTACCAATTGTACCATGATGACAAATAACTGATACTAGTTTGTAAGTTGTCACTTGAGATGTACAATCTATCAAAGGAAATTTTCTTATTATAAGTTAAAACAGAATTTTATGCTAATGTAGATCTAAACATACCTTTATGGACATATGGCCGTAAGTCTACACCATCAATAGGGAATGTTACATATGAAGTTATTTTAGATGAAAACATCAATTCGTGTCTGAATCTCTTTAGGTGTATGCATAAAACTTCAGGTAATTCGAGAAGTTTGGAAAACTTTATACCGTTACGCAGCTTTTTGCATTTTTCACAGCTAAAAATATTATTTTAGATTAGAACAAAAGTATTTACAGTTTAAGATATTTTTTCATACCTATACATGTTATCACCTTTAAGTTCATCAGCACTGAAGAATGCTGCTAGACAGTCATGTAAACCAACTGTTGGGCCCCAGAACCATCTGTACATCATGTCCCAAAACCAAAATATCCAATTCTGAAAAAGTAAAAATAAACCAATAACAGTAACAAAAATACAACATAATAAAATATTGAGATAATCAAATGTTGACATGATACATCAACTCTAAAAATAATGATTATTAATTTAAACTAAGAAAACAAAGTGGAACTTAGATAACTTTAAAAAATGTAGATTATTCATAGAACATTTACTGAACATTGAATATACCAATATACAAGGCCACAAGGGAAGAGCAAACTTTTTTAATGAATGATCAAAAAGTAAAAAACATAAATATTTGTTGGTCAAAAAATGACATAATTATAAAATTTATATTTTTGTACAATTTTTATTTATTTAACAACATGTGGCTGGCATAATGTGGAGTCGCAGGCCTAATTTGGCTCACAGCTGTAGTTTACCCATCCTTGCTCTTTATACTAAGAAAGTATATTGATTAAACTATAAAAAACTATCCTGACTACTTAAAAAAAAACATTGTTAAATCAATATATTGTTTGATTTACTCAGTATTTAAAATCAATACAGCGTATGACACTTCTAAAATATAAATTTTATCTGAATTACTTGTTGATTTGTGTAAATGTCGGACAATTTATGCACTGAACACAAATTGGTTGAACTTTGGTGTAAGACAGTAACGTGGTCACGAGTAGGTATGGGAAGGGATAAATCTTGAAAGGCTTCAACCCTCGAAGATACCTATAATACAAGAGATAATTATTAAATTTTTTAAATCCAAAATTTAGATTAAATATTAATGCAACAAATTCAAAATTATTACAAATGAAATTAAAGAACTACAGAGCTACAATGCAAAATTGTATAATACATATTCAGTTAGTATCCAGAATATTTTAAAAATATACTCAGTTATATTCTTAAACAAATTAATCCAAATAGATACAATGAAAAATAATTACCTATTATTTGTTATATTATATTAAGAAGTAAACTCTACAAATAGAAAATCAATTTTTAATCTTTAATCTTTTGGCAAAAATTACTATTAAGAAAAGCAATTACAAATTGTGTAGTAATTACAACATAATATTTAGTCAAATGTTATTATTTCTCCATGGTCAAATTGCACTTCTCATTTAGTTTATTGTATGTAAGGAATTTAAATTTAATACTTTTACACACTAAATGGCTTTAAAGATAATTTATAACATTTAAACAAAATTAATGTCTCAAACAAATATACTTGGAAATATCCAATTATTGTTTTCCATAACGTGTGTAGTGTGTATGTCATATTATAGAGCATAAATACATCATTAGGATTAATGGGTTGCAATTATGTACCAAGGATAATTTTATTTTTGTTATATTAATGTTCTAAAGAATTTAAGATATTTTATGCAGTAAGCACCATTAACAATAAATTATTAATCTTAAATACAATGACATGATAAAATGCATTAAGAACTCCATGGCCATTTGATGAGTTAATTTGTTTATTTATAGAGTTCAGTTAAATGAAGTACTAAGTATGTAGATATTTTTTGATTTTTATTAATAAATCACATTCCTCTAAATAAGAAAACAATTATTGTGTATTTGATAATATCGGGAGGTAAAAATATTGATAAAAAAAAACTTACCCGGTTGCAAGTTAAACATTGAACAGAACTTAAAAGCTTTCCATCAAATATTTCAGAAATTATACTGTTGTATTTGACATGATATTTTTTATTTTTTTGACAGAATGATATCTTATTTCCATGGTTCATTTTAGCAAAAAGATGACGTTCAAGTTTTTTGGTCAAGTTTATTCGCTCAGATGTTTCTTCTGACAAAGAACTTCGTTCACTTACACCAGAATCGCAAGTTTCATATTCATCTATACCCTCAGAACTACTATCAGCATTTGTCAAAGACTTAAGTTCATCGTCATTGTCTGAGCATTCATCTTTATCTTCTTCCGGAGTAGCCAAATGATTTTGTTCTACACTCTGTTTCCTTGAAGTGCCTTAAAAAAATGAATATAACTATGTTACATTTGATATGATATTATTTAATTTCTGAGTAATTGTCAAAAGCACCTTTATATGAATGCCTCCTAGACGGGACAACTTCAAGTTCAGGTTCTTTCATCTCTTCATGTAACTGATCCATAAAACACCTTAAAAACTCTTGTGTGTCGTGTTGATGAAATCCTCTGAACATTGGGTATGCCTAGAACCACCAAAGGTATTCATTTTTAACTATACAAAAATATAAATAATATTGTTTGACTTACATTTCGCATTGTGTATAAAATTGACGTAGGAGTGACATAGCCAGGACGTTTGGTATGCCATATTTCTTGTATCAGACGATGATAAGCTTTTGATAAACTAAAAGATTTTTCTGATTGTTGGTATGGGTATTCAGGAAAACAAGTTAGAAAGTAATCTGTTAATGGTGGTGTATTGGATAACGCTTGGAGTGCAGCATTCATATAACATGTATTGCCAATGTTTTGAAGACCAGTAAGACCTAAAACAGTTGCATCAAAATTATAATGTATAGTAATTAAATTAGGTATCTAATAGGGTATCTAATTAATACACTAATAGCAGTGCAAATAATTTACCCGTGGGTTTATGATCTTTGGTCAGTCTGTATTCGTCGTCGCTATCTTCATCAGCAGATTCGCCACTGTTATTTGCTGCTGCAGTATTACGGCAAAATTCTATCGAACAATTGGAACCCCGGCGTACTCCGTTCAACGATCTTGTATTATTTTCAATGTTACACTCCTTGACACATAAATAACAGCACAAGCGCATAGAAGGAAGACTGAGATGTAAACAGTGGGTTTTGTTTTCCTACGATTTAAATCAATGCCTATGTTATACAATTCTAACTTGTTAGTTATTTAACTAAAAAAATGAATGGTACTTTGAAATGAAGATAGCTGTGATCGCATCCTCCGTCGTAACAGAACGCCTGCAAACAGTCCGGACTTATGCAGAACCATACTTCAGGCTTTTTTGATTTGCACACATAGCAAGTCAGAGTACCGGTGTGCTAAAACAGAACGTTACATCGGTACAGGTGAAAATGTTGACCTGGTTAAGAAAAAGTAGATAAGAGAATACATACATGTTGTAGAAATTCAGCACATTTTTCGATGGACGACAAATGATGTACAGTGAAATGTGAACAGTCCTCCATTTCTGGTTACTCGACGTTTCCTAATGAATACTTAGTTGTGTACAATCCCTTCACGATCTGCAGACATAAGAAGTGCTCTGTATTATACCAATGAATGGCAACGGATAGATAAGTAACAAGTTTTTAGACTCGAAGCTAATGATGTAAGGGGCGGTGAACACACACGGCGGTTCGGGGTTTGAGCCGTTCGGCGCACCCGAAAGTTTTGTACCGACTAAAAGCGTGTGAACACATCAAATTCGGGTGGATGAAAATCATTAAAAATACAAAATCACAAACCGGGAAATTTTGTCCAAGCGGTTGACCGTGACACCGAGAGTAGCTATCAGCATCAGCTAAACAGAAAAATCGAAGCGGATTATCATTGGCTCTACGTTTTATCCGTGAAAAAAATGAAATTGTTAACAAACTTTAAGTAGTGCGCCTGCGCCCTGCCGGAGTCGGCAAAATTCGCAAATGTAAAAAAAAAAGTAAATAAAAACACAGACCGATCGATAAGAGTAGGACCCAGGGATTCTCGATTGGTAAAAAGTTTTTGAAAAATGTTACGGTAGAAACGCAAGTCGGCGACCGATAAAAGTTAGTATATTATGCGTGATAAGTGGCTGTACGAGCAATTTCATTTAAAAACTGTATTGTGCAATATGCGCTTGCAAAATTGTAAATACTTTTATTTTTTAATGATATTATTTAATTATTATAATAGGTATTAGGTACATGTTAATAGTTATTACTATATCAATACACTGTATGTGATTAAATGCGAAGCTCTTTTATTATAGTTATTTCCACCAGAGTACCAGACACCTAGTTCACCTTCACAGTACTGCCGTATGCGCAGCGAAAAATTATGTTCTCAATCTTATGTTCAATAATCGATAATAGTTCAGTGCTTTGATTGGGTTCTCTCATAGACAAAATAAATACCTACTAATAGGTATTATAATACTTTATACTTTCTATTTAGTATTTTAGTACCTATAATATTGGTAGATATAATATATCTTTGTCCGTGTATAATACATAGTACATACTTATATGTCTATGCAAGCCCGGATTAAGACATTTTGAGGGCCAGGGGCCAAAGTTGTAAGTGAGGCCCCTGTACGAAAAAAAAAAAAATAATGTATATAATATTATTTAATATTAGGTACTTGTTATAATAAATGTATTAAGGTATTAGGTACATATCAATAAATAATGAATAATGTATCATCTTATTTATAAATTATAATTTACAAGCTTTCTTCCTCGCTAAATAATCATCGATTTTTCTTAAGTAATTTATGCAGTGTTATAACTTATGGACAATCTAAGGCCCCTAAATAAATTCTAACTATCGAGGCCCGGGGGGCTATGCCACCCCCCTTTATCCGGGCTTGTGTCTATGGGTAAATAGGTTTTCTATGCAGTAATCATAGTTTATTCAGTATTCTACATCTACATAGAAATGTATATTTACAGACATCTACAGCCAACTCAGTAATAAATTACGATTGTCGATAGTTTTCTGCCCCCCCCCCCCCCAAACCAAGATCATCCATTTTTATAACAAATGAATCAATGATAATTAATAAATAGTATACCTTCAATTATTCGTTCATTCTGTGATCATAAAAATATTGAATTTTGATCAATAATGAATAAAAACGTAATAATTAATTCAGTCTAGCTCATTCTAGAAAATAAAATTTAACCAGATTCCAAACACAAATTCAAATGCTAATATTTGTCTAGGTAGGTAACTATTTTTTTTTTACAATATTATCTTTACCTCTTTTAGATATATTTTTTAATACCATTCACCGATAAAATCAATACTCTATTAGTCTATTATAATTATATTATAGGTATTGTACTATATTGCTCTTTATATTAAATAATTAAATATTAACAAATTCAATGTATACAATATTACTTACATCAAAATATATGGTTGTATATTATAACTCGTAAAATATTAATTTTTTTTATATGATTATATAATGTTGCAATAATAACGGCATGTAATTGTTACATGTTGTTCATCAACACAAACTGTCCAAAAGAATTAGGACGTATAAACAATTATTAATGAATTAATATATAATATATTAATATTAAACAAAACAATATCGTAACTATTAAATGCAACGCGAGAACATTATAATAGGTAGTATACTAGTGTCTAGTATACTTATATATATATATATATATATTATATAGTATACTATTATAATTATACTGCTGTTACAAAAATTACTTAACACAAAATAACACTTCGAGTGTTGAGTCGGAGTCGGTGACCTAAACAGGTGTAGGACGTAGGTGCTTGTTCCAATGGGTAACTAGGTAAGTAGGAAATCAAATTATCATATACCAGATAATTAACGTGAAACGTATAGTACACACATATAATATATATAGTGATAGTGACACACTAGAGTGCAGCCTACAGGACTACAGGAGATAATAGTATAGTGAATTACAATGCATTATACGTTTACAAATGTCTATTAATTAAAACATTCCATGTCATGGCTTTACTAAACAATAATTATATTATGCATTTATATCCATTGTTTTATTTGTTCAGAAATCCGTTTTGGAGGCGGGGCGCCACTATATATATATATATACAACAACGACTTTTAAGGGGTTGGATACAGGTATATAATGATTAAGACAAATATACTAAAGAAAATTAAAACCAAATCATTTTAAAGGTCTGATCGATTATTTTGATGACATTTTATTTTATTAAAACTAAAATGTATCGACATTATAAGGAAAAAATGTTGTAGAAATCTTAAATATTATCACGCTTGAAGGCAGTGGTGGTTCTAGCGTATGGGCAGGGTGGGCAGCTGACCATACCAAAATGTCTGGTGACCCTTTACGAAAATGTAGTCCTAGAACCGCGCTGAGAAATAACAGATTTAATCTGTTATTCGTTTTGTTTAGAAAATTCCCTGTCATGTACAATGTACGTCATGCCTATAACCCATTCATCCCGTATTCCATGCCAGTTTTTAATATAATACTGAATATAATTAGTTATATTATATTAATACATTATTATGCTATTTACCCATGGGATATTTTTGACTTGCCCTGAAAAACTTTCAGTTTGCCACGCCACTGCTGTATTTTGATAGTATAAATTAATAAATAATAAAAGTTTTATAAGGCAGTATATTATAGATAATTATAAACAATTGCTTTTTCTGTTTGCAGAAGTTTATCGAATTCCGTGTTTTCACCACAGTTAATAATAAAACATGGTGAAATGTCTGAAATCTGAATGTCTTTGATTTAAAATACTAATATTAGTATTTATAATCAATGACACTACTAGATGACAAGTCAAGATGTCTACTTTAAATTATTACCTAGGTGGATTTGGGAGTTAATATGTATGTTATGGCTTGCATGTGAGATCAACTTGGGATTTTTTTATGTATGGTAAATGGTAATTTTGTTGATACTTGTTTGGAGACAGTGTAAATGTTGATGAATCGGGTTAATAAGATGATGAGTTAAATATAATATGTTTATAATGTAATTAATGACCTTTAACGTCATTAATTATGCCAAAAGTTAATTAATTTTGATGATCGGTTTCACGTTTTAATCAGATTGGTTCCTGCACGCTCTTTAGTGTCATTGTGCGCGCATCGTATTTCCCGAGTGTTTGAAAATTGTCACGATTTTGGTCGGCGCGACATTTGTGCCGGGCTACGGATTATATCGCCAGAGTTCGCGCTAGATATGACATTGGCTTATAATTGTGTATATGGGTTTATATCGTAACAAAATAATCAAAAAAAATATTGTAAATTTAAATTATGTTCTAATTGTTTTGATACGGTATTTAGACAAATCGATATGTCATTCCCTCAAAAATATTATTCTCTATCTTTTTGTAATGGGTGATTTTACCCTAAGATTACTTAAAAACATAGAAAAAATGATTCTGCGTAAATGCGTTTTGTCCATGTTGCTCGTGGGACAGAGAGAAAAAAAATAAAAAAAACACATTGTTAATGTAATACTATATTTATATTATTTAGTTTAAATACTATAGTAGACCGTAGACGCCAGCCGGTGGTTTAGCAGTTCGCGGTTTAGTCGTCGGTGCCCGAGCCCGTTGAGGTGGACAACCAGCAGGGGGAACTGGCCAATGCAGGTCTAGATATACTGTACTACAACTGTCCTAGAGGACTGCAGTAGGCCGCTGTCCTTTGCTGGGTTTTGAGCTGGCGCCTGGCAAGTGGCATGATTATATCTTATAGGATATCGGTACATAAACATAGTAATGCGACATACACATATAACAGGATTATAATATAATTTATACAGGCATACAGCTGTCCAGGCAAAATATTTGTATTTTTAATCAATATATTTGTACACAATATATATAGGTACCATATTTCTTGTAATTAGTAATAATTATAATACCTATTAATATTTATTGTAATATGTAACCTGCAATTGCAACCATTTAGAATTTAGATATACAAAAAACATTTTCTTTATTTGTAAGCTGAAAAAATATCGTGTGTGAGCTACCCTTTATCTATCTATAGCCTAGATGGGTTGCAAAATCAAGCTATAATAAAGTATAAACACCGTCAAAGTCTCAAGTAATCTAATGATATAACTTTTATTGACAATCGTCCAGTCGTTTTTTGAGCCTATTAACTTCGGATGAACCAACATCCAATTTTAATTGACTTTAATTGACTTTTTTACATTCTGAGTGGAACGATGAATGTATTGATTTTACAATGATATGTGTTTTTTTATTTTTTTTCTGTGTCTGTCGTCACCTTTTAGGACAGTAAAAGTGCTTAAATTTTCTTCAACAATATATTTTCCGAAAGGAAAGTGAATCTAGTTGGTACTTTGGGAGTGTCAAAAGTAAATTTTTTTTCAGTAGTTTTCAAAAGCGCCGTGAAAAATAAAGAATTAATTTATCGATTTTGGTTTTTGGTGCAACTCTTAAACAAATGAATGTAGGTATTTTTACTGACTGTTTATATTAGCATTTTCTATACACCATGCCTTTTTTAAAATATTTTGACTTATTTTGAGCTGTTTAGGGACATTTTCAGATTCCAATTTTTTTAGTTTTTTATTCTATAAATATAAATCAAGTTTTATTTGTTGGTTAAAAAAACTAAAAAATTTAATAGAAGGCTCTCAGTATATTTTTTCAAAGGCAGATGAAAAAAATTAAAAATCCATAGTCACAATTTTTTTTTATAAGCATTTAAAGTTCAAATATTGACAAAATACGTAAAATGACGAAAATTTGCAAATTATTTTGAGTTAGAAATTCATAAAAAATTTTCTTTTTAAATCTTAGATTTATATATAGATAGATAGATGTCTATGCAGGGCCGGAGCTGTACATTTTTTTAGTGGGGGAGGGTGTATTCACTATAATTTGCCGACTGAAAATTAAGTGATTTGCCGACTATATTATTCAACATACTCAATGACTCACGTAATTTACATACTTCAAGTAATTTTTTTAATAAATACATCTAACTTGTTCGTCTCATGAAAACAGGATATTTGTATCGTCATTCATTGAGATACTATCCAATGAATTAGGTTGTAGAAGTTAAGGGGCAACATTTAGGCTAATCTTGTCATAGACACCCGGGATCTATGTGTTACTGTGTTAGTACTTAGTTGTAAATGATTATTAGTGTGAGTGAAATTAAATGAGGGTATCCTCTCGTACGCTCAAAGACCTCATGCACATGTCAATAACTTGAGAACCATATCGATTTCACTACAAGAATTTTACAAAAAACATACATTTGTCTGATTTTGATTCTGAAAAAATATTTGAATTCAGCAGAAAAATGTCTGTAGATATTTTCCGTTTTTAATATTAATTTTAATTTTAATTATGATTCGAAAAAGTTGATATTTTCAAGTTTTCAATTATAATATAATAATATAAAATTTAGATTTTCAAAGTGCTTCGTAGGATCTATAGACAATTTTCTGTTGAGTTCAAATTTTTTTCAGAATCAAAATCGGACAACGTTAACTAACTTTAATTTTGTCAATACTTTCAGCTAAAACTGACGGCCTCTTAATGGAAGTTGCTAAATCATTAGACAGTGTTTATTAAAAAGAATATTTTTTTTAAAACAAAATTACAATATTTGTATTATATATTAAGTCGTCCTTCTTTAAGAAGAGGCCAATGTTTCACCATGAGATGAATATCAATTTCATCAGTTAAATATTTGGTACAATTTAATAAGCGATCTACTCCTGTAGTAGAACGTAAACAATTCTTCACAATCTTCAATTTAATGAAGGTTAGATCGTTTGATACAGTACTAACCTATGCTGTATAAATCAATCTGCATAGTTTATTGCCAATAGGCAAAATATTTTTTAATTCTTTGGATACTTTGAATATTTCAGTTAATTTTAAAATGGATACAGTGATGGTGTAAAATATTTAATTCAGTTATAACTCCATCATAATCACAAATATTAGATTCATTACATCCAGGAGGGAATATTTTCATAGCTTTCTTCAATTCATCTATTGAACAATTGTTTTCCCATGAAACCTTAAAAATGTTCACAAGTGGTTCTATGACTTCTATGATGAACATACAATTTTGTTCAGAAGACAAATGTATTAATGTATCGAATATTTTTTTGAATTCCATTCTGTAAAAAGCTTTTATATTGATTGTGCACTGTATTCTAGCATTATAGTATATCTTTTTGGGCTTCAATCTTCTTCGATGGTGTCGGTTAAAATCTTTTTCTGGGTTAATATTTAATTTTTTAGCAAAAACTATTGCACTTTTTATTAAATTATGTAATGCCATATTATTATCACTAATTTTGGTTAAACTGTCAATAGTATGTGTTAGTAACATTAAAGCATCAATTATATTTAATTCTATAGCTTCTAGGTTTTCTGTGAAGATTTTTTGAAATTTTTTTTAGAGAGACCTAATGCAAGAGTACATGTTTTATATCCATGGATTTTAAGTCTGACATCTTGTAATGCATCAATAATTTGTTCATATGATATCCAAACAGCTTAAATTGATTCAGCCCTTGCAGTCCATCGGGTTTTTGATAGATTCACTTATTCAATTAATGTATTCAATCGATGCGCTTGGCATGGAATGAATGGAATTTTGTGACCAACAATATCTGATAATTTTAGCTGAGTAGGTACCATTTATCTTATATGACATGCCACATGTTACTGGAAAAATCATATGATTGAAATGCAATATTTTTTGTTACCTTTTTGTAGTTCTTAAATATTATTTACTATTATATTAGGTCATAATAGGTAGGTATGAAAAATTATATTTGAATTTTGAAATAATCATAAACCATAATAAAATCATATATATACGGCTATATCAAAATGATAAATTTGCCGACTAAAATTAACCAGGTTGTCGTAAGTGGGGGGGGGGTGTAACACCCCCCCCCCCCATTAAAACCGTCCCTGTGTCTATGTAGTACTATTGTAGTACTATTGTTCTGTGGTACTATGTACGTTACACTCCAATTTCTTCCTCGAATATCTACTGTCGGCTGTCGCTGGAGGACGAGACGACGACATTTCGCCGGAACGATAGTTCATCCCCGGCCCGGAGATAATACAATCAGCTGACAGCCGGCCGCAGTTGCAGCCTGCTTGAGCAGCAGCTGCTGCAGTCGCAGGCATGCCCGAAAACCGAAAAGTAAACACAACACAACTGCAGCTACAGACAAATCAGACAACACTAGTCACTATTCACTAACACGACCTCGATCACGTCTACCTGGTACATAACAAAATACAAATTATTGTACTATTATTGTTGTCAAGTTGTTTGTTGTTGTTGTTATTGCGCCGTTGCTGGCTGCTGTAGTGCTGCACTGCCTGCACTCGACATTCGATACCATTCGAGTATTCGACAGTCTTCACTCGACAGTCAACTGCGTTCTATATTTCTACTCGCTAGTCGTACACGACATCACTTTCAACTTTGTCTACGTTTTACAGTCACTGACAACAATTGCCCGTAATTGTTACTGCTGAATTTACCGTCTCGTCTTGTTTGCCGTCGCCATGGAAGACGAATCCCAACTCAAAGGCGGACATGCCCAAGCAGGTAATTATTATTATAGAAAGCGTCCACGTGTCTCGCGCTTCGTTCATTAACACACATTTCTGTTTTTGTTTTTTCAGTCAAAGCCGGCGGCATGCGCATCGTGCAGCACAAGAACGTCAACTCGGCCGCCGACAAGCTATCTGCCGCCGCTGCGGACGAGGCCAATTCGGTTTTGAAAGTCTCCACTAGGTAAATACCGTACTAATACTTTATTAATTTACCACCGGAAAGAGGGGTCCGTCTGTATAAAAAATATCTATTTCCGTCTTTTAAGATTATAATTTTATGACGTGGTTTGTTATTGTCTTCGAACATAAACTGTTTAGTAAGCGTTTTTTCGACGATAAACGTACCTGCGTAGAAACGTAAATAAATACGATAGGCAAGGCACCATAATATTTTGCTGTTTATCCTCCTATGCTTTCAGGGCGACTTTCGTCACCGATTTTTTTTGACGTTCACGCTAACCTCTATTTATTTTCGTTATTTTTATCCATGCTCGCCGCAGTCCGCCCAAGCAGACCGTGGTACCGGTGCACGCTCACAACGACTATCCGACCCAAGCCGTCCAGAAAACCCACGACAAGCCGACGCCCAGCCACGAGATGAGACAGCACACGTGCACGAAACCGACCATCCATCAGCCGCGCAAATGAACGCGACAGCGTCGACGTGCACACAAGAGACTGGGCTCGGGGGCGAACGTCGTTCGACACGTTCCCGGATTATTCTTATTCTTATTAACATAATAAATTATTACCTCTCTATACACATTCTATGAACCCAAACAATTTTTAGCCTCAAGGCTTAAGTTTACTTTTGCATTTACATTTTGGTGAATAATGATATCTATCTTCTTCTCCTGCTACCTATGGCATCTCTCGTCTTGTTCATTCCTTTACTATATAATATTATTTTATATCTATATATGTATATAACAGTTATGGTACTTTGGGATGTTTATTTGGCGTCATGCTCGGGAATTTATTTGGCTACAGGTTGTAATTACGTTTCAAATAATCAAATCAAGTTTAATCAATGAATTTTATTTTTTTATGAATAAAGTATTATTTTTTGGAATTCGTTCGTTTTATTTTATTTTTAGTTCCACCAATTGGTATTTATTTTGAAGGATGTTGGACAAGGGATAACTGTTGGAAATATTTTTCAACTAGATTGAAAACAGGAAAAAATCATAAATGTGCTACGGACGCCATGCTACAAAATAGCGTGTTACAGGTCACAAACCTTAAGAGATGTCAGAGCACTAGGTATTTGTTTTCTCTCTGTACCACCCGCAACATAGACAAAACGCATTAACGCAGAATCATTTTTTCTATGTTTTTAAGTAATCTCAGAGTAAAATCCCCTATTACAAAAAAGATAATATTTTTGGAGGGAATGTCATATCGATTTTATATTTTATTGTTATTTGACTTTGTATTCGACTTTCAAAATAAACAAAAAAAATGTCGTACACTTAAATTATGTTTAAATTGTTTTGAGACAATATTTAGACAAATTGATTTCATTTTTTCAAAAATATTATTCTCTATCTTTTTTGTAATGGGTGATTTTACTCTAAGATCACTTAAAAACAGAAAAAATGATTCTGCGGTATTGCGTTCTGTCTATGTTGCACGTGGTACAGAGAGAAAACAAATAGTGCTCTGACATCTCTTAAGGTTTGTGACCTGTAGGCTGTAGCACGCTATTTTGTAGCATGGCGTCCGTAATGCGTTTTATCTATGTTACGCGTGGGCCAGAGAGAGAAAACAAATGGCACGCTGACATCCACTTATTATAATATTTTATGGTTATATTGTAAATTTATATAATTATTAATTATATTATAATCAGTGTTTGGAAGTTTGGAACCTTCACTAAAATAGTGAACGCGTTTACATTCCAATATTCCATTCATTAGTCATTATACGTTCAGACGTTCAGTGTTGCCAGAAACTCCTTAGATATCATTAATTTTTATTATAGACCTTATCTTCGAAGACCGTGTTCTGGAATGATAACTTTTTATAAAATGAACGTTAAATTGGTTAAATGAACGAAAAAAGTCGTTCTCGTTCGTTTAATAATCAAACGCGTGCAAATGTCCCACGATTGAACGCGTTCTTTCCAAACACTGATGAGTGATGACTGTTATAAATTATAATACATACTACACGTGTCTACTCCGTCGATCTGCGATTCATCTTATGTTTACGACTGTTTTGACTTAATGACTCGAACGAGTCGAACGTCTAACTATAATAAAAACAATTATTATATAATTACAATTATTAATACCTAAGCAAAAACGTTATAAAATAGAACACAGAAGCGTTCGTCGTGCTGTTCTATGGTACAACGCTATTACTGATATAGGTATGGAAGTAATTCATTATACACCAGGGATTTTCAACATTTTTGGATCCATGGCTCTTCTGATTTTGAAAACAATTTAAAATAAAAATTCATTAAAAAAAGACTAATATTATTAAAATAAAAAAATTTAATAATCTGTGACGCCCCGGCCCCCAGGGAACCGCGACGGACAGGTTGACCCTGCTATATGCATACAATAGGTACTCTACTAATATTACGATGCAATTATTTTACGTGTGTATTACTTACATAATATTAAAATTTCAAGGTCAATATTGACCATCGTCGCGTCGTACTGTAGGAATGTAGGATCATGGCTCTTATTATTTGAATAAATTTTTTATAAGAATAAAACAACTAAATATATTTTGTCTAATAATATTATAAAACATTTAATAAGATGAAATAATATTTTCGTTAGTTTCGTTGAATTATCCAATTTTGTCAAAATTTGAACTGAAAATCAATACCATGATGTGTCTGAAAACTGGGTATAACACTATAACTCAGTTACCTACATTACTCAAACTCTAAACATACTTTATAATTATGTTTGAGGGAGATTGATGATCCAATAGTCTATAATCAGTACTCAGTGGTGTCTCTAGGGTTTGATTTTTTTTGGGGGGGGGGGTGGTGGAGAGGCATAACATCACAATTTTATTTTTTATATTTGATGAGCGTCAAGTAGGTAAGTGCCACTAATGGGTGGCTTCTTACTCAAGCAATCCATGTTTTTAACTCTTATCTTATACCATACGCTTATTGTACAAAATGTATAGATTGTGTATGTGCTTTTGTAAAAATTAAAAAAAATTAAATAAAATATTTGATGATAAGTATTTGCCATATCGAAATATAGGCACTACTCCTCTGTGCGACTTACAACTGATAATGGTCCTATCCTAATCTGTGTTTTTGCCGTTTCAATTAGCGATCTACAAAGTATTTTCCCATACATGAAATGGGTAAATACTAAATATGTTTATTTTTGTGTAGAGATAAAGTAGTGGTATATATACTATATAGTATATTGGCACGGTATGTGTAATGACGAATGGATGTAAGGCATTCATTTCCAATATCACTATCTTTGTCGAAATACGTTATTCACTTATAGTGAGTTTTAGTAAGTATACAATTATTGTGTTTTTTATTACGATTTACGAGTGTTACATTAAGATACCTATATTGACATATCATTCATGATGAAAAGTGTGTACATTTCTTGTAAGACCGAAAATTTTGAATTTCTCCAATCTAATATTGTCAATTCTTATTGTTTGGGAATCGATCTATTACTTATCTATATCTATAGAAATGTCCCGATATAGATATGCGTGAGAGCGAGACCAAAACGAGACGTAAAAATAATAAGTGTCCAGTATATCGGCAGTATCCATATTTAAAAAAATTTGGACCCCCGAAATTTGTTTTCTATTACGGCCTTGTGTGTACTCAACCAGATTTTAACCCGTAGAAATATTGAAAAATTTCTTTCCGTGGTAAAAATAATTATTCATAGCTCCAAATATTGAAACAATATCTTAGATCATATTAGTATATATTATCTAAGGTCTAGGGAAACAATAAATTTCTCCAATACTCTGAACACGACAGTTGTCAAACATAATTAATTAACAATTAGAAGTCAGCCAAGTTAGAATTCTATAGTATATTGAACCCTAGAGTCCCCCTATCGGAAAACCAAGTATGATAAGTAGGCTACACGAAAATATAAGATATAACGAGTAACGAGAATTTACAATTTAACGATATCGAGTATAGATACTAATATAATAATATTATATTATATACCTTAATAATAAAAGCGTAAGTATATTATATTAAAATCAATTGCGTATAGCATGTTATTTTTTTTTTAATTTGGAGGGGGGCATAGTCTCCTGCCACTGAGTCTTTTTTCGACTTTCATGTCCCTCAAACAGAATTAAAAATATGCATAGGGTACTGATGGTAATATGGATATTTAAATTATACAGTATTACAGCGTATATCCTGTTTTTTATATTATACATATATAAGTAGATATGTTAGGCCGTCTGTCTATGTCTATTATTAATGTTAGCTATAGACTTAAAAACTATTGGGTAGGTTTCAACAAAATGTATATCAATGAGTTATTCATCATGAGTCGAGAGGGTTTATAGCGTATTATTTTCAATCCTATAGGTCGTCAAGGACTGGTCTCACCACTCTCACACATTAATATAGTTTTTTGCTCACGAAAAAGGAATATCATTTATTTTAAACTTTAATAGGGTTACCATTGATTACCATATAAAATAAATAATAATACATACATATTACTATTATAGTGCGTAGGATTTTTTTTTGGTTGCCATTGTTTGCAGATTAGTGATTACCTGCAAGTACTGCAACATGGTTATTAGTTCATTATAAGTTCATACTTAATATATTAAAATATTTACAAGCAAATAAATTACGTACCTATGGTTTTGCCATGTTGGCTGTCAAAATTATATGAGGTGTATTTGGGTTTGCGATGTACCTCATATATAAATATATTTCCTATAAAGCCTGTTAAAATTCCAAAATATATCTCATCATGAGGAAATAATTAATTATAAGTCCAAGTTACTAAATCAAATACGATATTCAAACAAATCCAAGTGCAGGCAACAATGCAACATTGTGTAAAATGTAAACTAAAATTATGTTTTCCGAAAGTTTTATTTTCAAAGCACAAAACGATATGTAAAATATACTAATATATTATGTTACAATAATATACAAATATTGTGTTTGTACACGTTTTCAGAATGGGAACGTTGCACTTGCATTTAAGGTCGAATGTAAGTTCTTCCACGAGACCTAGCAGTTAAAAAAGAGGTACGTATGGATGTACCAAGCACGAATTTATCGTAACAATTATTGGTCATAGTTTTCACGGAAGAAATGTGTTATTGTGTATACATTTTATGGTTATAGCATATTTGCTTCAAGCTTATATAACGCCCCTATTATAAATATTATTACTTATATTATTTTATTATATTTAAAGTAGCCGGGCGAACCTGCTGCAGGCTGCAGATCGAGGCGCGTGTGCCAGAGTTGGTGTCGGAACTGGAGATAGTGATAACCAATTAAGTCAATGATCGCGGAGGAACTAACGAAAGTGATGGTGAAACTGAAGGGGGTAAAGAGGCGACGTGGCATAAGAAGCGCGATAATAAACTATTTGACCACATAACGTATACATTACAGCAAAACCCGGCCGCGCCAGATCTGC